ATGGAAATGGAATTATTAAAAATATAGAGAATTTTTATGAGACGCGATAAAAATTTATCGCGAAAATCTTTGATTCGATTGATTTGTTTAAAGTTGTTTAAACGTTGTTATATCTGTTGTTGTATGTATATATATATATATTTTTTAAACGAATAATATATATTATAGAGAAGTTTATCAAGAAAAAAATGAAATAAAAAGTTTATCAAAAGAGAGGTGTGTTTCCATTTCCATCGGTGTTGTTTCACTGTTATTAATTGAAAAGGATAAAAAAGAAAAAGAAGTAATTCTTGTTGCGCAAGTATGATGCGATTACAATCATTTTTTCAATCCTTTGTTATCCCTTTTTTTGCGAACTGAATTTTCTAATTAATTATCACTTCATTTTGCCTGTTTACAGCTTGGATGTCTCGTTTTCAAGATTTATTCAAATAAAAATGTGCAAACTGTTGTTATATTAAATTATTTCAGTTGAAAAGATCGCACGAATAATTATAAGAAATATACTATTTACATATTTGCTTGATCCTTTATACTCTTTCTTTCTCATCTTATCCACAGCTTTTATTAAAATAATATTATTAATCGATGTCGCATGCATGTGTTTAAACGGATTATTTCTTTATTTCGACAATGTCAGCTTCGTGCCATGACGCGTCGTACAAACCGATTTTTCAATCCGATTCAAAATTTTCCTTCTATTGTATCGAGTCACACTTCAACTCTCAATCGATATTTTTAACAGCGATCCATTTACGATCCAACCTAACAACCCTGAAATGATATTGGACGATGATCGACTGCCATGTCTTTAACCCTTTACGTATTGATTCGTTCGGTAATGGTTCAACGTAAATCAACGATTGATTCACTCCCACATCTTCAACTCCATTTGAAACTCAATTGATCCTATACCTCTCTCTTCGAAAAAAGATTGAGAGAAAGTTCGCATAAAGATTTCCTTTAAACGATAATTCCCTTTGCGTACTTTCCTCTTCACACGAGTTAAATAATACGAACAATATTAACAAAATTACCAACAATATACATAAAATTCAATGTAAATTCTAACTCGACGCGTCGATATAGAATTGAATAAAACTTTGACGAAACGACATGCATTTCAAATCAAGCATGATTTCGTCTAAAAAAAAAAAATTTGACTCGACACCGCGAACGTTTTGCACGCGTCATCGCATATGGCTGACGACGCCTTCCGCGAAGGAAGCAAGGATAAAGAGGATGCAGCGGTGGTTTGCTGGAACTTTCCAGAAATCGGTGTGCTCCGAGATGGCGAGCGAGCTGCGTTACGCGCTGGACTGCGGGAACGGGACGAAAAAGCCCGCGAAGAAGACGCTGTGCCGCCGCGAGAGGCAGCGATCGAACCTGTCTATCGTGTCCGAGGAGGGGAAATATCCGGCGTGCAACAAGTACAGACACTTCGTCGGTAAAGCGCCGTTAACTTGAAGCCTGGATCACGAGAGAGGAGAGCATCGAGTTAATTTTCGAGTCGCGGATTCGATGACGAACGATGTGAAAGCGATCGATGGGGTGCAACGAGGGAAGCCAACGAGGCGTGAATCAAAAGTTTGGCGCGACATGGAAACCATCCACCTTTACCGGTTCCTTTATCTATTTCTCTTTCACGTGTGCACGCGTGGTACAAGACTGGCTTTCTCTTCTCCATTTTTTCTTTTTTTTTCTTTCTTTTTCTTTTTTTTCTCTCTCTCTCTCTCTCTTCTTTGTCTTTGTAAGTGACGCGAACGAACGAACGAACGAGCATGGCAGTTCTTCGACTAATACTTTATAGAGTGTACAATCGTTCAGTCGTTAATTGGAGCTCGCTGGAATTTATCGTACCGTGCGGGAGACAACGGCGCGCCCTGTTTGAGCGGAAAGATTAACGAGCAGCTTCCAGATCCTTTGTCTTTCGTTGCGCCACTCGTGGCGAGAGAGAGGGTGTCCTCTTCTGAAGTGAACGGAAGAGGACGAGTACTACGCGGTGTAAACTCTCTCGTTTCGAAGTCGAAACGACGATGATTCCTCCGATTGTTGTTTCCCCGATTGTGACGAAAGTAGGGAGGGAAAAAAAGGAGGAAGTGGGGTGGAAGAAGGGTGGAAGAAGGGGAGGGAGATTGTAAATCGAGGAATGTACAATTTTATCGTGAAAGATAATTCATTTTCATTTTGATTGAACGGTATTTAAACGGTTATTTTTGCGTTAATCTCGATCGTTTTGTTCGTAATTTATCGTTCGAGTCTTAATTCATACCGAATTGAAATATTCGTGCAACGAATATTTCCATGTTCTATTGAACGAATCCCTGTTCAACTGCTTTCGAGATTCGAAAACATTTCATTTATAAATAAATTAATATATATTGGAAACGGGTATGAGGCAGAGGAAACGGCATCGTTTGCTGGTATCCTTGATAATTATTTTCCACGCTCGCTCGCGCCGATAAATTCTATTGTTGAATGCATCCTTGTCAAATATATATTCCGTTCTAATACTTTGCTTAAATTATATTACGAAGCACACAACATGGGATAATATTTTTTCTTTTTTCTTTTTTTTTTTGAAACCTGTACTTCCTTCGTTTCTGCTCCACGAATTTAATCCCCGCGATCTCTCTATTTATTACTTGTAAAATATATATTCCCAAATATATATTAAAGATCGATGTAATCTACGTTTGCGCCATTTATTCCATTATTACTTTGAAAATTGATTAAAGGATTGAATCACGCGTCGATATCCTCCGCACGATATCGCGATAAATTTAATGAATTTTTTGACGAATGTGCGAGAACGATGGTAAAAAAAGGAGGAGGGGAGAGGGGGAGGGGAAGAGGACGAATAGCGTGGGTTCGATATCGATGCGACGCGAACAAAGGAACATCGAATCCAACCGATTTTCGTTGTTGTCGAAGTATGTCGTTCATTTTCGTAAAGAAAGTACATCGTCGTTGGAGAAATGGAAAAAAAAGAGGATGATTAACAATTGTACAAATATCTCTGTCTGTTCGATGGCGATGTTCGACATACACACATCCGTTTACTGTAAATAATCATACTCATCGTTGAAGATTACGAATTGAACCATCCACTCTATGGGATTGTATCATAGAAGGGGGGAAAAAAATCTGTTCACAAAAGCACGTCTTCGTTTAAATATTCCGATTCTGTGAGATAAACGTGTCCATGCGTGCGAGCGTCGTAGTTGTTTCATCGAATGTAGATAGGATAAGCGATTTTACAATTTTGTTTTATGTACAGTTGATCGTAGAAAAAAAAATATCCGGTTGAATTTTCAAAGATTATATCATATTATTTCGGAATATAATCGTGTTTGGACTAAAACAAAGATATAAAGACTTTTTGATTTGAGCAAAAAGACACGTCAAATGTTTAACGTAACTGGACATTTTTCGATCAACTAAAAACGTATACCCTCGTTCGTTATTCCCTGAGATTTCGAATTTCAGTATCTCGTTATCGCGGAATTTCATCGCTCTATCCACATCTCCGTATATTCATTAATTCCGTGCTCGGTATTAATCCTTTGAAATCCGTACGTTAATTAAAAATCATTATCATATATAAATACTCCTCTGCAAGTGAAATACACATATTGAAACTACTGATAAAATCAGAATACAATTCGCGCAAAATATTTTCAACGCGTTTTTTGAACACTTTACGATCCAATGTGAGATCCAACGTTCAAATAATTCTTTTAAAAAGAAAGAGAAAAAAAAAAAAAAAGAAAAGAAAAAAGAAAAAAAAATAATTGAAAATTGGATTAAATTTTCCCATTCCTTCGAGTCGAGACAAATTTCATTCGATGGATTTCGCAACAATGTTCCTTTCTTAATCGTCCAACGATTCGAGGGATTAAGCTGGTTAACGGAGTTAATGGAAAGCCTGTTTGCAACTGGTACATCGGCGTTCATGAACGCAACGGACTGAGCAGTATTAATTTCCGTCTTCCGTCTCTCCTAAGGCGTAAACACGCGCGAATATCGTACATGCATAGATGCCAGACCAGCCACTCCGAAATGATCAATTTCCTGATGCAGATAGATCGATCGTGAAACGAGATTAGCGATGAGATTCGATAATATACCTTCCACGTGGCACGCGATTGTGCACATCATTTCTGAAAAAACGCTATGTACACAATGACGAATTTTTTTTCTTTATTTCTCTCTCGATTTTTTTTATTTTTCTCTTTCTTTCTTTCTTTCTTTCTTTTTTTTCTATGTGTATGTGTAACGTCGACGCGTGTGTGTACGCACCGGAATGGAATCGTTTTTTAAAATACATACGTACAAAAGGTTGCGAAAGAAACCCGCATGAAACCGACACATTCATCACGCGCATATACACGAATGAATCTCGCGTATAA